TCATTTTCGGAAAATTGAGTCAGTTTGAATAGTGGTGAATTCGTTATTTCCTTTTGCAGAACCTCAATGTAAAATTTACGTCAAACAATAATGATATTATTGGCAGCCTTATCAGGCAGGACAAAAACAAATTCCTTGGCGAGTTCTTTTAGCTTATGGTTGATACGGGAAATAGGGCTAATATGGTTGTTGTTAAGAGTAAAATGTTCTTTAAAATGTTTAATACAAATATCAACTATGTTCATTACTGAATTAAAAAAAATAAATCGTCAGCTTTTTCTCGTTTTATCCATTTCGTGCAGTAGGTACGGAGTGAGTCGTGGATGATGTTTAGACACTCATTCCAATTAATAATTGACTCAGTATTATCAAAATAACCAGGAATTTGATCTTTTACGGAATGATCATTAAAAATACCGACAATATTTACAAAATCAAAACCTCTATTGACAAATTTGATTTTAATGAAATGTTTTCGTGGTCTTCAGGGCGATCAATTTTGTGATACAGTTTAGAATAACAACATACAATTATAATTTGGACGTTTTTATACTTGGGACTGCAATAGGGAATTGTGTTGCATTCCATCAAAATTTGATGTAATTTATTAACAGGTAAAGAACAAAGCTTGGTTAACAGATAATGTCTGCCGTTGTTTTTTGAAATAGTAATTAGGTACGAAATATTTGTATTGTTAGTACGAAATGTCCTCTGATTGCGATTTATTCTACATCCATGAGAACGGGTTTTACGAACAGTTTAAGAAACTATTTCCAAAATGTTAACAGAATCGGTTCTTGTTACATTGCCAATTCCCATTATATTATCATTAAGACCGAGAGGATAGACTGTCTGTAATCTTTTAATCCAATTTAATTCAATTATTTTCCGTGATCGTACAAATTTTTAGTGAGATTCCCCAGGTTGCTTATTTACTACTTATACAGGTGGATCTGTCAGATACTTAAAAAAAATGGTTGTGCTTCTTAAGGTGTTGATAAATGATACTTTTGAACTTATAGGTTTTTTTTAAAACGATAAAGATGTTCTTACGTGCGTTAAGATAAAAAGCGTCCAGTTTCACCTACGTACTGAATACCGCATCCCGGTTTGTTTCATGTAAGTAAATAGATGATACTGTTAGTTTTTCAATTGATATCAGTTTCAAAATTTACGGAAAATGTGCGACCATTAAAAGTGGACCTAACCGTATTGTTGGTGGAAAGACGTGGACATGTAAGTCATTTTCTGGCATGACACTTATCGATAGAAGGGTAACCACGATTTCTATTATTAAAAATGTTAGCGATGGTAGTATTTTTAGATAAGCGATTTTGAAGATTGAGACGTGTAGATACCCTTTGAACGAGTTTAGTATTTAATATTTTTCCATTTCTAAGCTTCATATTTGTTTTTTGTTATGTGGATATTATTAGAAAGGAGCAAAGACTGGCGTCCAGAATATGAACCAGCACACAATAAATTGAATTATGTGAATATGATAAAACTGTTCGGCTAAAGACGTCAAACGCTATCCGTCATAAATAACCCGAAAAATAAAACAAAAAAAATGTGGTATTTTTAGATAAGCGATTTTGAAGATTTAGATGTTTAGATACTCTTTTAACGAGTTTGGTATTGAGTATTTTTCCATTTCTGAGTTTCATTGTTTGTTATCCAAATTTCCGATAGAAAAGAGCAAAGACAGGCGTCCAGAATATGAACCATCAAACCGAAATTGAATCAATTAAAAAGATAAAATGATAAAACTGTTCGGCTCAAGACGTCAAACGCCGTTAAGCGTCATCAACAGTTTGTAGTAGATTACTCATTTATCTCAGATCAATAACTGGTTAACAAGAATCGTACTAAAAGTAATATTGCTCAGTTATTTTGATGTCGAGATTAAATCGAATTCAGCTTTAGCGCTTATATATATATAAAACTAATAATAGTTTAACCTTTTTTTGTCTTAACTAGACGGTGACTTGTTGATTTTATTTTTGATTCTTTAAAAAGACTATTAAAGCAACGAAAAAGCACAAACATAAAAATATCCTATATTTAGTTTCATGCGAGATTCTTCAATAAAACTAGCTTTGCATTCATTTCCCTATCATTTCTATAGTAATTTTAAACGAAAACCAGTAAACTTGAACCCTTCAAAAATTCTTAACTAGACGGTGAACCCATTTTTTTATTTTACTTTACCACTTAGCACATGATAAAGTTCATTTATAAAAAAAAAATAGCAAAATCCTATATTTCATATTTATACCACCCAGCCACCTTAACAAATAAATACTTTAACCAAAGATGACACTATCTAAAATGGTACTTTTAACAAAACAAAAAATCAACCGAAGTTGAAACTATCTGGTATGTTGTTTGTGTTTTGAGTCGATTGGTAGTGTTAGAACCTTTTATTACTAACTATACAGTGTCGGCTTTTCACAGAATTGAAGGTGTCATAGTGACCTATAGTTTATTCAAACATATTATAGAAGCGGATCCAGGATTCGAGAAAAGGGTGGCAAAGCGTAATTGTCCAAAATGGTTGAAATAGCGCTAAGCGAAGGAGGGGCCGAAATGTTATTGGCGTTTAAATACAGCAACCCCAAACCCCTTTTAATCCGCTACTGCGTTTTTTTCAGAAAATGACTGAAGTTGATTGGATAGCTGGTTCTTCCCTTTAAATGACCTAACATCTACGTCAATTGGTTTTTTTGTAGATTATTTGTCTCTTTAGCAATCAAACAACATCTTTTTATTTTTATATTGTTAAAAAAATAATAATATATTACACTAACTAATTTTATTCTGATTATTTTTCTGAGATGAATGTTATCAAAAAGTTATTTTTTTATTAAAAAATTATTCAATTTTGGATGTACACGATGTAACATGTCTTCTGAATGTATTTTGTCTATTTATCATAGACATAATTTTGTCATGTGACCGTGACGTCATCAACGTTTTGGCATGATTTACTCCTAAAAAAAGAAATATAGAACTACATTATAAGGAATGACTGTAATATTTTTTTGTCTATTCGAAATAACATCAAAAATGTGGTGCACACGCTTTACATTTTTAATGTTATTATTTCATAGACAAAAAAAATAAATTACAGTCATTCCATAAATAAACAATATGTCATTCATACAAATACAAAACAGTAACAACCAGTATATATATTCACTTAAAATTATTATCTGTTTACATCTTCATTACATAATTTTTTCAGAATCCATTGAATTTTTACTGATCACAATAAGGGTATTTCTTAAAAAGGTTATAATTCCGTAGGTAATAATTCTTGATTATACATATATAGTATAGAAATAAAAAAAAAAGAAGATGTGGTATGATTGCCAATGAGACAACTCTCCACAAGAGACCAAACGATACAAAAATTAAAATACAGTAAAAGAAATGGGACATTAATATAAAAGAATATGTAGACAGTTCTCTAACAAACAAAAAACCCTAACTGTGAACATAGAAGGGTTTTACATGCAGTAATAGAAAAACGCATTGGTGTAAATAGAATTAAAAAAAACCATTTGAATGAATATATCAATTTGTAGGTATACACTTTTTTCACATCTTCTTAGAACTCTGATATTTTTATGTGTTAGTCACAATTGTGTTTAGTTGCTGCTTGAAATTGAGCCACACCCTATATAACTACTATACTTTCTTTCTCTAATCTTAATTGTACTGTAAAGTCTGAAAATTCATTTACAGGCGTTTTATGTAAAAAAAATCCAACAAATCAGAAAGACAGCAACACAACAAATGGAAAAAAAACATAACAATAAACATACAATAGTAGCTAATATTTATTAGTGTAATCACGTCTATATACAATAAGTAAACTATGAAAGATATAGCATCAAAATAAAAATAAAACAAAAACTGTAAAGGATAAAATATACGGCACGAGCATCATGATAAAACAAGGAGTGTAAAATATGGAAAATACAGCATGAACATCATAATAAGACGAAAACTGTAAAGTATGAAAGATACAGTATGATAATCATATTAGGATCATAATCAATGATAATAAGACACAAACTGTAAAAAATTGAAAATACAGCAAAAACATCTTAATAATTAAACCCTATACAATATCGAAGATAAAACATGACCATAAAAATAAACAAAAACTGTAAAAAATGAAAGATACCACATGGAAATCATAAGAAGATTAAACCGAATAAAAGAGGGACGAAAGATACCAGAGGGACAGTCAAACTCATAGATCGAAAACAAACTGACAACGCCATGAATAATATGGAAGATACAGCATGAAAATTAAAATAAAACAAAAACTGTAAAATATGGAAGATACATAATAAAAATAAAAATAGATAAAAAAAAACTGTAAAATATGGATGATATGGAATGAAAATCATGATAAAACGAAAACAGTAAATATGGAAGATACAGCATTGAAATCATAATAAGACAACAATTTTAGAATATGAGAAATACAGCATGAAAATCATAACAAGACAAAAACTATAAAATATTGAAGATGCAGCATTAAAATCATAATAAGACAAAAACTGTAAAATATGGAAGACACAGTATGAAAATTGAAAAAAGACTACAATGTAATAGTAAAAAAAGACTTCAGAAAGGAATGAAGTAATTAAACTACAAAGTAATATAATGATAGAATAACAATGTTTACTAAGTGTGGTAACAAAAATAATTTTAGTCGTTGGCAATACAGCTCAAATTTATATACATTTAACAAATATTTACAGAACAATAGCATCAGTGTCCTGGCAATAATACTAAGAGTGGTACAGTTATATTCAAATATACAAACAAAAAGCAGATGTTTAAGAATGAATAGCAGTAGATATTAAAGAGAGACATAAATAATGGAATGAAATAGATAATTAACAAAATACAGCTTTTTTCCTGCTGAATGTTGTTTTTGTTTGTAATGTCACAACAAAGCACTGACAAAAGAGTAAGAATTAAAGAGGAAATTGTTTCTTCTTTTTCATGTGTTCTGTTACAATCATTACTATAGATGTATGTCCATTATCTGTTGCAATGTCTGAAGGGGATTTCTCATCTATTCTACATATCTGTGCATCTGCTCTATTATCTAACAATACTCGTACAATATCCTCATGTCCTACTTCACATGCATAAAATATTGGTGTTGTTCCATCTCCTTTTGTCATGTTGCTGTTAGCACTGTAGTCAATAAGGCAACGAACTACATTTATCCTATCCATAAAACAGGCTATGTGTAATGGAGAGGAACCAGCTTCTACATCAAAGGCATAATCTAATGACTTCTTACTGACGTGTTCTGTTACATGTGACGATATATGCTTTACAAGGATATCAAATAAGTATTGTTTTTTTTTGTCCAATGTTATACTTGGATGGTTATTCATTGTATCTGTTATGGACTGTTTACTATGGATACTGATGTTATAGTCAGCATTGTTCTCTAACAGTAACCGTGTTATGTCCATGTTTCCATTAAATGCACTGAAATATAAAGCAGTACCGCCATCAAATATCTGAGCATTGATATCTGGTTTATGCTTCATCAATAGCTGTGCTATAATAGTGATGTTTCTAATACATGACATAATCAGTGGTGTATAGCCATTCTTGTCACATAGATCAACGTTAGGATCCTTCTCTAACAGTAACCTTACTATATATCAGTATGTCCAGTATTACTTGCCAATAACAAAGGACTATAGTCATTCTTGTCACATAGATATACATTAGGATCCTTCTCTAACAGTAGCTTTACTATTTCAGTATGTCCATTCTGAATTGCCAATAACAAAGTACTACAAATATTCTTGTCACATAGATCTACATTAGTATTCTTTTCTAACAGTAACTTCACTATTTCAGTATGTCCATTCTGACTTGCCTGTGTCAGAGAACTACACTAATTATTACTGCATAGATCAACATTAGGATTCCTCTCTAACAATAACTTTACTATGTCAGTATGTCCTTCCTGATTTGCCATGTGCAGTCCTGTAGTCCCATCATCTTTACATTGATCCACCTCAACATCATTACGTATCAGCCACTGTACCATGTCAGTATAACCATCATAACACGTCAGTATCAGTGGAGTATTACCTGATCCAAAGTCTTCCTTTGGCCTCACAGTATCCTTGGTATTGACTAATGTTACTTGTATTAATTTGTCCAGTTGTTTTAGGTGCTCTTAACTTTTGTCTAAATGATGACACTTGCATATTATTGTTATATAATACATATGTCACCTTTTCGAATGACCAGTCCTTTATCAACCTTTCTAAATATGATTCTAAATAATCATCTAGTATTTTAACAATGCAGTCAATGTTATTTGGCATGTCATCTGGCGATGTCTGCAAAATAACGTTGATGTACTAAATCACTAGAACCATGATCTATTAAACATCCTATCATTTTTTTTACCAAAGTAATAGGCAAGGAAGTCAAACAATTTATCATGTGAAGTTTTGTAAATACCCTCTTCTTTACAGATAAATGTACCGTCTTGAGTATCAAGTTCTTTCTTTAATTTTGTCATTGATGTACCCCTGTTGATATCACAAGCATCACATGTGTCTGTTATGATCTGTTTTGTTAATTTGTAACTCTTCCCTGGAACCATTTCTCTTTCAGATGATTATTAAAAAGTTGTAATAAAGCTAAACTACATATTTTATAGTTCCCTTCATCACCATGCTTACTTAAACTGTCTAGTTCTTTTTGATAGACAATAAAAGGATTTTTTGAAAAATTCGTTAACTTCTCTATGTTTTTTCACATGATATAAAGAACATAAAAGTGGAAAGAATTCAGTATGTTGTGATACCTCAATATTGTCCAAATTTGAACTAATATAGGTGTTCGCTATACTATGTTTTTCTACAGATGTAATGCAGAACTGATCTGAAATTAAGTTACATTCACAAGAAAGCAGTGAAATTTCCACAAATATCATCGACAATACAGACTGTAGGCTTACCAGACTGATAATAATCTCTGATTTCATTTGGTTTTATCACGGGTATTATTTTGTATCCTTTCTTCTGCAAAACTAGTGCTGTGTGTCTTGCAATAAATGATTTTCCAACTCCTGATGATGCCGTTAAAGTCAAACAACTGTTGTTTAGTAAACATTCCATGACGTAATCACTGGTCCTTGTAGATAAAACATCTCATCTTTCTTTTTCCAGTCTTCTATTTGTCTTTGTATTTGATCTGAAAATAATATATAGGTGTTGCCAATTAAAATTTAAAAATGACTATTTATATGAAACAAATGCAAACTAATGGATTAAGTAGTTTCCCATTTTGTTCTCTCATGACTTTTTTTATACTGTACAGTATCGGTGTTATTTATTGCTGAAGGATTGGCAGTGACCTGTAATTGTTTGCATGCTTTTCTTTTTGATACCACATCTGCTTTTTTTCATAAATTCTTCATTGAAAATACCCCCTAAAATATATACTTAATTGCAGGACAATACAAGATTGTCTTGGCAAATCGTCGAACATATCTATAAAAATATAGATAACTGTGCAAATATTCAAAATAACATGAACATAAATTGTTTGAGGTTGCTTAAATTATTTGTTGACCTTGAGTAGAACCGAAGAATGAAGATCCAGACAAGAAAATGTCCTCACAAATCAAGTAGCATTTTTGTCAAAGGTAAAAGTCATGAAAATTCACTACACACCATCATACATATAGTAATACACTTGCATACCAAGTATCACAAATCAACGTATAGAAAAATTAAAGTTTGTGACTTTCCATGCAAATTTTGAATATAAAAACGAGAGTAATAATACTAATATGTCTCACCTGCTTCAATTATCATAGGCACAACTAACTATCAATCCAGACACCAAATATAGTTAACCTATAATTTTAATCCTGTTATTAGCATCTAGAAAACTGACCTAAGATAGTTGCCTCACTGACAAACATACCATTTCTCATTATTCATATACTATCCACTCAAAACCTAATGGTAACAAAAAAAAAAGGGATCAGGGTCCGTTGAGCCCTACCTGACATAACATGCACACTATACAATCATTCCATACACACATACAATTGACCTTCTGCTAATAGCGAATGAAACACTGAACTAACTACAAAAACTTAATATTGACTAATGAAACCTAAAAATGAAATGAATCCTGCTTCACCGACAAGTAGACCATGCAAGGATCCGATATAACAAATAAAGTTATCCTATTATTCGTTTTAAGGGAACAAAAGTATTTTTGATCATGGAACTATGTATCCCTGTTATGTCATACTGGTGTCTAACAATTGATCTAAGCACGACCATTATCTTCTTGAATTATTTTACAGGTAAATACCTCTGAACTAAGTTAAGCCCTTTTCAACTGATTTTTATAGTTTGTTCTTATTTTGTACTGTCACATCACTGTCACATATAAGAGGAGGGTTTGGCTCCAGTAAACATGATGAACCCCGCTACATTCTGTATGAGGCTGTCCCAAGTCAGGGCCTGTTACGCAGTGATTGTCGTTTGTAGCTGCATATTGTATTTGTTTTTTTATTTATCGTTTATTGTTAGTACATAAATCAGGCCGTCATATTTTTCGTTTGAATTGTTTTACATGTGTCATATCAGTTTTAAATACGCTGTATGGGTTTTGCTCATTGAAGGCCGCAAAGTGACATTTGATTGTTAACTGATAAGTCATTTGGTTTATGGTGGAGAGTTGTTTCAATGGCATTCATACATCTTTTTATTTTGATAATAATATACCTCTGAAGTACATTCTGCTCAGTTTTCATTTTTATTATTTTCTCTCTAAGACTTGATTTGTTTTCTTTTTCTGAAATAAATAAAAAGAAATTTTATGGTCTATTACGTTAAGAAAGTTGCATGAACGCATTTATGATTAGAAATGGTTGTCAGACACATGTTTAGTCTACAAAAGACTCATCGATGACATTTAAAATCCAAACCATTAGAAGGCCATACGGAATGGGGACATAAAATCGGGTTGCAACATGTAGAAAAAATTGATGCAATTAAAGAACCCAAAAAAAAATTCACGAAAGGTTCATAGGTGGGACTTTGCAGGACAACATTTATGTCCAAATCCTTCATACAATCGTTTTTGCACTGTCACCCCAATATCTTTTACCTCATTTGACGCCTACCATGCAGATCTGTATTGCATTCTTTGTAAATTTGTTCTCGTCATGAACACGCATGAACAATTCGCAACTGGACGTTTTGTAAACAACGGTCAATTAATCAATCTATTCGAAGTGTCAATATAAAAAATAGAGTGATCAAATGCTAGGTTCGAATACAGTCACAAAATTTTCAGTATCTGTTTTATATTCATTGCCAGAGCCATACGAACAGTAAAATTTAATTGTCTCAAATCCACCAAAGAGATAACATGACAAGATTCAAAAGAGGTATATTCCAAAGTCAGAGTTTGCAAAGATTATTACACAAAAAGAACGACACCTGGACACCATGTGTGACTTGGTATACAAGTTCTCCTTTGAATTGTTTCATATTTTGTGATGTCATGTCATAAAATAGCTAACAATAGAGTATAGGTTTTGCACATTTCTGAAGGCCGATTAGAGTTGATTAAATCTACGTTATTTTGGACTTATATTGTTGATGTAAATTGATCATTGATAAAGATAGATAAGCCAGTCAGACATCGTATCTGATTTTGTTTTCAAATTTGTTTTCTCTGTACAAACCGTAGAACCTGTAAGTCAATAAACGGCTATTTATTTTCAGGAGAAGTGAACAAACAAACTATAGAACTGATTTAATTAACAGCATTGTTAAAATGGTAATGTATGAAACACATATTTATACCCCTGCAAGTTATTGTTTATTCCATTTCCATATAATATCGATCTATTACTGATAATTCCATCAAACTTCATTACTCCAGTTTGCCAAGTTAACATGCGATAAACGAGAGGCTCCTTAGACAAGTTAGAGCCTAAATCGTCCACCTGTCAAAAATTGAATTTATAGGCAAACAATCTTAAATCGTCTTATATAACGGATCAATGGCTTCTCCTGTTTAGCCGATCATTTTTGCTGATCACAGTTTCTACTTATATATTATAGTTTTTAAGGTAATAGGCAAATACTCTTACAGTAGTCAAAAATCATTATTTATATTTATGGGAATACGTCTTATAAGTAGTCATTAACTCGATAAACAAAAATTGTGAAAACGAATTGCCATTCAAAGTTATAACATTTATGATTTCAGCTTCGCAATTGTGAACTTTAAATTAATGTGAAACAACATTCCAGCATTTTCTGCATTCTGAGTAAATATCTCCCAGTTGATACGATATTCCAGGACTTGTATTTTCTATAATGATTTCCTCGATTGAGAGTTAATGCTTACATTGGAAGCTTTGAAACCAAGAGTTTAAAGTGGTGAAGTTGAAATCCTCCCTTTGTAAATTGTTGAAGAGGCCATCAGGAGTTGGTTGAAATATTTTTTTCACAAGAGACGACGAATAATTTCCAATTGTCGTAAGCACAATCCCGTCCCTTTTCCCGAATGTTATCTACTGATTAAGACCTATCATCGGGTTTCTAATTACATGAGCAACACGACGGGTGCAACATGTGAAGCAGGATCTGCTTTCCCTTACGGAGCACCCGATATCACCCTGGTCTTAATTGAGTTACGTGTTGCTCAGTCTTTGTTTTTTTTTGTTGTATTTTGTGTAGTGTTGTTTGTCATATAGTCTTTTTTTTCTTATGGCGTTGTCAATTAAAAAAAATTGAGATGTGGCATGATTGCCAATGAGACAACTATCCACCACAGTTCACACGAATTGGATGAAATAATTTTATAGGAAACCATACGGCCTTCAACGATGAACAAACCTATACAGCAATGTGGCTTTAAAAGCGACCCCCCCCCCCCCCCCCCCCACTGATGGAAAAATGAAACAATTCAATTGAGAAAACTAAAGGCCCAATGTATGACAAACTAATTTATGAAAAACAAATATGACAGACATGAACCAACGCCAACCATGAACTGCAGGCTCCTGATTTGGGACAGGGATATATAGAATGCGGCGGGGTTTAACATGTTAGAAGGTGCCAACCTTCATAAGTCTGGGACAGTGGTGTAACAAAAAGAAAAACTATAAAAATCAGTTGTAAAGGGCTTAAATCATCAGAACGATCCAAAGCAGAAAAAAACAACTTACAGAAACTCAAACCAGACGGGCAGGCTAATACATCCCTAAAAACAAAAGAGACACAAAGTAAAGACGTGAGTGTACCACATTAACATCAAACATCCGATAGCGATCACATTGATCAATCATTTGATACTGAAGACATTGACATCACACATTTGTTACTTATCACATTGACATCACACTCCTGATACTGATAAAGGAGTTACGGCCTCTAACCACCGTAACGGGTTTGGAAAAATTGTATTTTTAGTTTGTTGAGACATACTAATTGGTGAAGATGAGTATTGAATTTGGAAGGATCATTATTTCAATGATTTATCACCAGGTATTCGAGGGTTTATCTTGAAATCTATAAATGTTCGTTAACATATGCAAAAAATTGAACACTGCAGAAATAT